TTTCCCCCCCTCAATTCCTGTGGGGTTAAGCAGTAGCCATTAAAACCAACAGATGGTTGTGACAGTCCTAATAAGCGTCTGTCTGCCATACAAGACCTTGTACTGTAGCCTCAAAGTGCTCATTAAGAGGTCCAGGTGCTGAGCTCATGGCACCGACAGAATCATTAAGAATAGAATATGTAATAAACCAGAAATTTCAGTATGACTTTTTTTTTTTTAATCTTAATGTTAAATTTTTAATAAGTAAATGATTCTTGACCATAAGAGAAGAAATGGGTCTTATCATTGATATCACTAATGGATGTCGTGCTGTGGGAAGAGAAGCTGAAGGGAATCAAGAAGACATTTGAATTAAGGGAACTGGTTTTAGTCTATCCTTTTATTAATCTATCAGACAGCTATTTCTGTAGACAGTGTTGTAATTAGTTTCTTAGTGATTGTTTCAGATGCTTCTTATGTTTTTGAAATGTTGCTAAAGTCATGGCTAATCTGTCTACAATCAATGTGTTGACAGAAATTTCATCTGAATGCAACGGGGCAAGAGGAATGCCAAGAGGTCGGTGATTACAGAATGATCAGAGATGTGCTAATAAATGCATTGTGAAAATGAAATATAGAATCGGTTTCCATAACAAAGTTCTCTCTGTGTCATAGGACCCCTGTGAAAATGTTATCACTGTCATTGAGAAGTTTCAGAACAACCTGTTTGTCTGCGGGACGAACGGACAGAAACCAGAGTGCTGGCAACTTGTGAGTGATTCTAAAAAGTGTTAAATGTGTTAAACCGTAGACTAAAAGTGTGTGACTTTCTGCACTTCTGTGACAAGTTAATGGAAACTAAACTAGTTTCCATAAACTAGCAGCAGAGAAAAGCCAATTAAGGAGTGGAGCTCTGGTGCTTCTTGTTAAACTTTAATTGGGCGCTCTCATCTATAATTTAATGAAGGTGCTGGGTGTCTGGTGTTTTGTGGTTTCCCGTCACAGTTCTCTTGAAGTAATGTCACTGTGTTCTGTTGACTCTCTGTGACCCTGCAGCGCCCTTCAGTGAACAATCAGTCTCTTGAAATATTCGATAGTCGTGACGGGACAGGAATCTCTCCATTTATCTACACACAGAACTCCCTATCGCTCACAGTAGGTATGTTACGCGCCGCTTTTGTAGTTACCATGTTTTCAAGGTTTTAATTATCAGTGTGCAGATTAATGTAACTGATTATTCAAAAATTCAACATTTTTGCCCCTGTCAATTTGGTGTATCGGCTATTTTTAGAAGGGGATCTGTATGCAGCAGCACCTTTGGATGCTGATGGAAGTACATTGCAGTTCAGAAGACAAGCTGGCCACAGGACTAATGTCTGGATGTATGACAGCTGGGTCTCAGGTAAATAAATACCTGCTCTTATTTTATAATGGAGGAAAACTACTGTAATTTAATACATTGGTGTCGTATAATCAGAATATGTTTGACTTAAAAGTTTGTCTTGTTCACTCCTCACCTCATTGTAGGGTAATTATGCTTTGGTTCAAGTTTGATGTGGCAGGCTTTCTGTTTTGTTTTGGGGGTTTTTCAGTTCGCGCTACACTGTAAACACTTTTTTTTTATCTTTTTATCATGTTTTCACAGAGCCCACATTTGTCTCTGCGTCATGGGTGCAGCGGACGGACGACCCAGACAATGAGAAAATTTATGTCTTTTTCCGTGAGAAGAACTCGGACCACAACCGAGAGGCTGACCCACTGATATCTAGGATCGCCAGAGTTTGTAAGGTATGGTGAAAAAAGCTGAGCTAACATCAATGAAACTCAACTTTGCGTACAGATAAATTCTCTAAAACATCTTCATCTCACTTTCAAGAATTAGGAACAATCAAAAGTCTTGCTGTGACTACATAAGCAAACCTTTTTCAAGCATTTTGGAAGGTGGATTGTGCCACTTCATTCTGGGACCCTTTGTGCCCAGTCCTCATAGGATGGACCACACCCACCTTTGAACTTGGCCTTCAGTCTAATTTGATCTACAATTGGATAAAGTTTTGCGAATGCGTTTGGCATGAGTACAAGGCTCTGCCACTGACAGAGTATGTCCAATACCAAAGTACTTGAAGCAAATTTGAAGTGGGTTTCAGTTCACTTGCCACACAGTTGGAAAATGTTGTAATAATGTTGTAAGCTTTAGAACAACAACATTCATAATGAATGGCAAAATGTGATCATGCCCATTAAAATAAAGGAGAGGCATTATTGGCTCAGTATGTGTGAGAGGGTGTGATAATAGCACAGCACAGGGAAGGTTGAGTCAGTCAGTTCAGTTTTTTTTGTTTTTTTTGTTTTTTTTCACACATCAACAGTACAGTTGCCTAAAATGACACAGCTAGAAAAAAACACAAAACCTGTGAGATGAGCTTAAAAACTCAGCTTACCACTGCCTGCTGTACTGAATCTAAATTAAAGGCAGCGACTGTGAATAATTCTAATATTGTTTTGTGATGGTTTGCCATGTTTCTTTTACCGTAATAATCTGCATAATTTTCCATAAAGAGGAAACAAGATACTAAAGTCTGTCAGATCAGAGGTGCTTGATGTTGATGTTAGGCTTTATGTTTTTATGGAAGCAGTAGTTATGCTCACCCAGTATTTCCTCTTATATCAGGATATTGCATTAGTCATGTTAGTTTAAAACCATCACAAGAAAATATTCATTTGCACAACAAAGCAAAAGCAAACAAACCTTTGACCCACCACCAATACCAAAAAATTGGACTTCATCTACTTTACATTAACCAGCACGAAAAGCTTTCATTTTGCTAAAATGTTGTTTTCGGGATCCTCGCTTGACATCTGTGCGAAACGAGACTTGCCCTAAAAGTGTTCAGGTGTTCTCGTTTCACATTTCTAATACAGCTCAACGTAATGGAAACTGTATCGAATAACCTTCAGCCGAAGCAGAATTAATGAGTTTCCTCCTGTCGGTATCATATTTCAGGTGGATGAAGGTGGATCAAAACGATTCTTCCAGAACATGTGGACATCTTTTCTCAAGGCCCGTCTTGTGTGTGGAATTCCAAAGGAGTCGCTGTATTTTAACCGCCTCCAAGATGTTTATGTGATGCACGCAGACAACTGGCAAGACACCAGGGTCTACGCCCTCTTCACGAGCAACTGGTTAGATGCTTCATTTTTAATATCTAAGCAACATGCAAACATGACAGTGACACCACAATCAAAAGCAAAACATCAAGATGGGTAGTATTGCTTTAGCAACATGACTTTCCATTCCTTGTATCTTAGGACTGTAGCTCCAAAAACACATGATGTTAGACTGTTGGTCAACTGTTTGTCCTCATTTTCAAGGGAGTTGCCCTTCTTCCACTCCCATGAGCTGAGGCAATAACAAATTCACAGATGATTTAAACCTATGATGAACGCTCTGGCAATCTTTCTTTCTTATATCTCCTCTAGGAATTCTACAGCAGTCTGCATCTATACAATAAAAATGATTGAAAATATATTTGAGAACTCCAAATTCAAGGGCTACAACAACAACCTTCCCACACCAAGGCCAGGAACGGTAAGAACTTTATTATGTTGCTATGTTACTTTACAGAAACAGAATTTACAGACAGCTTCCTCTAAATTGTTTTATTTTTACATTTCTACTTTCGTTTTGCTCACATGCAGTCTAAGCAGTTTATTCTATATCATGTGCATGAGTACGACCTGTGGTTTAAAAAAAAAAAAAAAAAAAAGACATGGAAACAACTGTGTGCATGGACTGTTTCATCACATTCATTGTTTCCATCATAGAGACTGTGGTTATTTATTTGACATCCACTGGGATTAAATGGAACAAATGAAGGCCCTTATTTGCAGTTTCCCCTCATTGTGGCACAACCATAATGCAAGTTTCAAAAAGGGGCTGACACCGACCGCGGTCCTTTCTCTGTTCATGTTGCTATATTTTGTAAATAAAACCACCCCTGTAATTTACGATGTGGAAAAGTTTGTCTGTGCTTTGTTTTTGGACTATTTATTTTGCCTTTCATGCAGTATACAGACTATTTTTGCATTTATTTTTCAGTGTTCCACGAACAGCAAGGCTTTGCCACGTCAGACAGTCAATATTGTGAAGGATCACTCAGAAATGGCCGACTGGGTTGACTCAGATCCTTTTTATATAAGCACCAACAACTACACCAAGATAGTCGTGGACAGAGTTCAGGCTGCAGACCAAAGATTTTATAACATTCTGCTTCTAGCTACTGGTATGTCATTGTTCAACAGCACAGGGTCCTTGGGATCTTGTTTTGTCATTAGTGCCTTCACTGCCTTTCAATTGTCTTACATTTTAAGAATGCATTGTCTGTAATATCTGTTAGGAACAATAAGCTAAAAATACCTAGCCAGATATATCACTTGCAAAAAATAACACAATATCAAATTCCTGTTCCAACAGATTCCGGGAAGATCCATAAAGTCTTGGAGTCTGGGTCAGAACCTTTTATCATATCTGAAACGCAGCTCTCCAACTCTTCAATCATACAGTCAATGAAGCTTGACTCTAAAAAGGTAGGGTTCATTTAAAATGCCACACTAAGTGCAGAGCACTGTGCTTTGCCGTTCTGGCATCAGTGTTTCTCTCAGCTGCTGTCAGCGCCCACCTTCAGTGAAACATGATGTTGCTATTTCTTTTTGCAGAGCGTCGCATTTTATCTGTCAGGTCATTGCTTTTGTGCTTCACATGCAGCTATTTTCAGCTGACAAACACCTCGTGTGCATTAGTTGTCTTGCGCCAGGAAAAGCCAAATCTATCAATAAGCAGGCTATAGAGTCTACAATTTCCCCAAAAAGAAAATCTTTTCAACCAGGTTTAAAGTAAATTTAGATTTTTGTCTTCCTTTGCTCAGAAAACATTAATTGTGGGGTCTGCTGAGAGAATAACTGCAGTGAACCTTCAGAGTTGTCAGGAGTACAGCAAGTCTTGCGAAGAATGTGTTCTGGCCCGGGATCCATACTGTGCCTGGACTAACGATGGATGCACCTCGACTGTCCCGTAAGTGCGAGCAGCAGTCTTACCAAGACCCTCTGGCACATTTTATTATTATGTTTTGCACAATACCTGAAACAGCTGTAGAAATGAATCCTTTGCATATTCTTTATCAGAATTGAATTGACAGATAATCAAAGAGGGAAAAAATCTTGCAGAAACATCACTCACTGAAACGTGTTTTATTCGTCTTTGCAGCGGGAGCATTCAGAATATCGTGGATGGGAAAACAAACGTATGCAGTTTAACAGTTAAAGGTAGCTAATGATGATACATTTATTCATTTTGCTGTAGACTCCAGGAACAAATTTAGTCTGATCTCTCTGATCGCTCTCTTTCCCTTTTCCCCCCCCTTTCTTTCTTTTCTCCAAGAGCCAAGAAACCGGACCAAACGTGAGATACCTCCACTATCATCAGTGCATTTGAGGACAGTTCATTCAGTCCCCCAGGGTGTGCCTTTCTATCTGTCCTGTCCCATAGACTCCTACCACGCTGAGTATACATGGGAGCAAAAAGGCCAAAAGAGTCCTTGTTTGCAGATGCTTACCAACTGTCTGCATCTCATTCCTTCCATGTCACAGGAGAAGTATGGCACATACAGATGTATTTCAGAAGAGAAAGACTACATCAAAGTGGTGGGAACATACGAGCTCATAGAGAACCAAGACCCAAAAAAGTGCTCAAAAAGCAATACACCTGACAACTGGAACGCTGCACCAGCTCTTATTCCAGAGATGACATGGATCACGCTGCTTGTAGCAATAATTTCTTTTTGAACTGACTCTCTGTTACTCGCTACTTTTAATTTGCAGTGTCAAAATGTCAGGCCCTCTGTACTCATGCAGCACTAACGGAAATCCATGTCAAGCCTTTAGCGGAACCTAACACAGAAACATTTCTGCTGTGAAAAACGTTTATTGTTTCAAAGAGGGGCTTGAACAGGAAGGGGAAAGAAAAAAGAAAGCAGTACAACCGGTCAGCAGTGCACAGCTTGAATGGTCTCCAATGGTGATTGAAAACATCGGAGCATCTTACATAAAACACTTTAGCTGAGTACCTTTCTTCCTTTTAACACAATCAATGAAATGGAAGGCACAGAAAGTAATCAGAGGTAATTCCTCTTTACATGAATGTATATCTCAAGTCAACAACACTATTATGCTATGAGTGTAAGTGGGAAAGCTTCCAGTCAAAGGGCCACAGACAATCTTTAAACAGTAAGTCTGCTTAATTATAAGTCTTATACAAACTGAAGGGAAGAGAGCTCTTTCCACTCTGGTCCATATAGAACCAAAAAATGTAAATTATCTGTTTTGACATTGCACTGCTGACCCGATAATTTAGGAATGTGTCTCCACCTTTTTGCCTCAGTGCTCAGAAAGGTATCTTAAAAATGCACAATGAAAATATTTGGCTTTGCATATTGGGAAATGGCTTCTCTCAGTATTTAAAAGCAGTTATGTCAAAAATACTCTAAAACATGCAAAAAGTTGGCCTATTTGTAGTGTTATAATTTTTAACACATACTCACTGAAATTGGGTATGTGTTTTCCTGACGCGGCGCAGAGTAGGGATAGTGAAGGTGGATGAGTTGGCATTGCTCATCCACAGCAGGGGTAATGCATAAACGAGGAGAAGAAGCAAGTGCATGTAGTGTGGAGCGGATGGAAACGATTGTCGGGGTGATTTGTGACAGAAGGATAACAGCGAGAGTGAAAGGGAAAGTTTACAAGATGGCAGTGAGACCTGTTATGATGTACGGTTTGAAGACGGCGGCAGCGACAAAAAAGACAGGAGGCCGAGCTGGAGGTGGTAGGGATTTTGCTTTGTTGGGATTAGAAATGAGTCGATCAGATGGACAGCTCGGCTGAGACGGTTTGGGGAAGTGCAGAGGAGGCGTATTATTATACTGGAAAGGATGTTAAAGATGGAGTACCTCCATAAGGGAAAAAAAAAAATCTTATTTTTGTACACAGTATTATAGCACTGATAGCACTTTTCTTTTTTTCATGACCTATACTATAATACAAATAAAATAGTGCACATAATCAATCCATCCATCCATCCATCTTCATCCGCTTTATCCGAGGCCGGGTCGCGGGGGCAGCAGCCTAAGCAAGTGCTGCTGCCCCCATAATATTGTGCACATAATATTTTGTTAAAATGAATTATTGCAATCACCTTGTAGAGAAAACCTCTAAAGAACACAGAGTTGGCCTCAGTAGCCTGAGATGGAGTCAGATTCCTTACCTGAATTATTGCTTTAGTCCCTTGATAAAGAGTGTTATAGAGCAATAATGTAGCTAATAAACCACTTAAAACTTTATTTACACCAGAATGTAGTAAGCTGTGCCTTGTGTTGCTTTAATTCTATGAATTTAACATAATGTCTCTTTATAGCTTGTCATCATGTTGCCTTACACACATGTATTTTGGTACGGTATTAAATTATTTAATCCTGAATGTTTAAAAAAAAAATGTTTTTTTTATATGAAAAGTATTATTTATTTCATTATTCACAAAATATTTAAAGAGATAAGAAAACCTGCTAATGTCTTGTAATGATTTCTTCATCATAAAAAGAGTGTGACAATTTACTGTTCACTAGGTGTCATCCTATTAGGTAAGATATTATTATTTAATCTTAGCAGGCTGTGTTTTAATCAGCCAGAGTACTCAGTAAATAACTTTCAGCATGACAAGAGGGCAGATGACAAAGCAAGAATCTTGAGCTTAAGCTGTCTTTTACCTAGATCTAGTCTCAGCGTTCTTAATGACTGCACAGAGTACATCCTGCTTATGTAAAGAGATTTTTGGGGGGGAAGGGGGGCACTACAGTGTATGTGCATAGACAAAAACAAATGGGAATTTGGGTGGAGTCCGATAAGGTTGTAAGATTTTCTTTCAGATTAACTAATTGAAGTCCAGAAACTCCATGGAAACCTAGTGTTGTTTATGCTTCTCTCATCCTGTCTCCAAATATGAGATAACACAGCATCCATTATCCATTATAGTGTAACACTTGACTCTGAACTTGGCTCTCACAGTGGTGGTCTCAGTCTTTTGGCCACACTCTGCTGACCAAACCCTGTTGTTGCAGTTTCATTCTAGGAAAACACACCCTTTCAGCCACTGACACACTATGTTGTTGTGGGCTCTGATTTACAGCCACATGGTTTTAACTGTTTTGATCTGCAGTGTCTACACAAATATTTAACACTGTAGAAGGAGATGGTACGTTCCACTGTTTATGGTTCATATGTTGTTCTGTCTGTCTTAGACCACTATAATTATAATGAAGCTTACTAAATCTGTGGCTTAAGACAGAATTTACATAATCCCTGATCTAACAACTAGGTTTGTCCTTTGGTAAACCATCTGCATGCACTCATGTTTTGTTTATGTCTGGGTTCTTTTCTGAGTCACTCATCAAGTTGTAGAAATGTGTCAAGTGGTGTTATAGAGGACTTACAGTTAAGCATCACTGATAGGCTTTACTTTAGGACTATGTTAAGAAACACTTACGGTATCACAGGACTAAGCTGGTGCTGCATTGGTGTCTGAGGTCACAGATATGGTGACTAACAAACATGTTTTTGGTTTCTGTTCTGTTCTGATAAGAGTAAATCTTCATTCAGGACCTCGGCTCCCAAGTTTTCCTGTCCTTCTTCTCACAGGAAGACTTCAGGAAGGAAATTATTGGAAAACAAACACAAATTCCGATTAAGGAAATTCTTAGAACTGAAAGCAAATGTCATAAATGTAGCTTTTCACATGTGCGTCATGTTGTTTAAAGTTTCTAAGCACGCACGATACTTTGCCTGACATGAATTTACAACGCCTGTCTGTAACTGCAATCCGTTGCCAGCAGAGGTCGCTGTTATCCAACAGACCCGACATCGGTTCACGCTTCAACGCCTACCCTGAACTGAACACAAATCCATGGCTAACCTGACCCTACAAGCCAAGGCTTAGAATAATACTCGCATGCCCATTTCACCCTGAAAATGATTATCTCAGAGTGTAGTGTATGGCAATTCCAAGGTCCCCGGGGAGTCGACATTACTCAGAATAGCGTGAATTCCTTGGGTAACAAATGAAATGCGACATGCATGGTGTGATAGGCCTTGGAGGGTGATTCAGTGCAATCCTCCAAGGTATGCATGTGCACTAAAAGTATCAGAAAGATATGGTTTGTGATTTTGTCACTTCTGAGTTGTTTGCACTTGCTGTAGTAGGTGCTGGTGTGTTACATGAAAATTTTCACTTTTGGTCTGAGAGTCACGACAGATGATTCCGTGATAACTTGGATGTGGCGGTTTCCCGTTGAAGTAGAAGACAAAACAACCTAAAAAAAGAGCAGGAAAAAATAAACAACAAAGTACCAGATGAGCCATTGCTTGATTTTATTTGTACAGTACTTCCTCAGGAATCCTAAATCTGTAGCTGCTTGAGCTGTGGGGTACTTGAATGTTTTGGTAATTAGCCTACTCGACATGTGTGTTTATGTATAAGAGAAGGCATATTCATGCTGTGAGTGATTCGAATTGTTCTTTGTTTTCCTTTTGAAATTCCAGTCAAGTGCAGATTATTATCCATTTATGTTTTAAGTGTTTGTACTTTTCTTGAATTTAATTAAAAATAAATTACCTTTCAATTTATTATTTATTTTATTTTTTGTTCTCCAGGGTTTGTTTGTATTTTTGTTTTGTTTTTTAAATATACTGTCCTAGTGATTTTAAACCCTAGTCCTTCTGTCATCTTCATGGGATTGGTGGTAGCCAGTATGCTCACTGGGGGTAGTAGTGACACCTGGGAACATCTGTGTGTCCTCTTGTTTCCTAACTTAGTCCCTAGTAGGACAAGTAGATGGGTTTATTTATTTATTTATTTACATATTCTGTATAATTTAAAAAGTTGTTTGTAGCTGTGCTTGTACTGGACATTTTCCACTGCTGTGTTTAATTAAATCTTAAAATAAATCACTTAAAATGATCACTCCTCTCCAGGGCCACATTAGGATTTGTGACACTGAGTTAAATCACATTGTTTCCAAAAGCCTTTTGTTTGAGAAGTCTCAACACAGCGTTGTGAAGTTTCTAAATAAACATACTCTGGACGACGTTTGAAAATGATCTGAAAGGCTGTACAAATTTACAGTGTGCACACGTTTGGAAATACTTTGGGGATGTACTCCATTAGGTGTGAAACAAAATGTGGTGTGAAGAGAGGGAGCAGAAGCAGGTTCAGAGCAAAGAGCTGGTGAGATTTTAACAGTTAAAGTAAATGTTTAAAGCATTTAAAAAGACATCTGGAAAATAAGGAAGATAGAAATCTAGATGGTTTACCGCAGGGACTTGAATCACGAATACAGCAGGAAATTGTACGGCAGCCGAGCAGGCAGCCAAGGAGGAAAAGGAAGAGAGAGTACGTTAGTTTCGTATCAGAATCTATTTTACTTTCTGACACAAAACAAAACCTAAAATGTAAAAAAAAAAGTAAATTGATACCCAAAAGACAAGTTATATTGAGACTTGACAATTAAACAAATCGTGACAGGGTCGAGGGAAGAATATAAATCTCCAGGTGATTACCTGGATAGGAAAATGAACACTACCCAGACCTGTTTTTTAAAAAGAGGTTTTGGGGAATTTAAACTCTTTGTGGTGATTAGCACTTCTGCCTCATAGCAGTACAGGCTGAGCTTTTCCTGTGAAGTTTGTGCAGGTTGTCTTTTGCCCTTTGTTGCTTCCTTTCACAGTCCAAAGACATGCACAGTTGGACTAATTGATGATTCTAAATTGCCCGTACATGTGTTGAGGGGGTACTCTGCCTCCTTAGATAAGCTCCAGTTTGCAAATATTTGGACAGTGATACAGTTTCTGTAATTTTGCTTTTGTCCACCATGGCAGTGGAATTTAAATCAAACAAGCAAGATGTGATTGAAGTGCAGACATTCATTACATGAACTGTTTAGGAATCCTAACCATTTCTGTACACAGACCTCCTTACCATTGTTATTTCATATTCATATTCTTCTTATTGCTAAATAAATGTTTAGTATGTCTTTGCAATCTGTGCATTAGACCAGAGGTGTCAGAATCATTTTACATGGCAGGCCACATACCTACGAGTAAAACTCCCCTTTCTGTCAGTGTAAAGAAGTTAGATGTTTAACGGTTTTTCTATATGATGACGAAAAAGCCTCTGTGACACTTTCAACTTAAATTGTAAGAAATAAAGTTGCAGATAAAGTTCTGGAAGCTCATTTACCAAAACTGTCGTTGTAAAACAACAACAACAACAACAGAATTTACACAAGTTTTATTAAAGACACGGCTAAGACTTTGGCCAACATAATAATTTGTGAAAGTTGAATTTTTCCGGTATATAGAAAAGGGGAAGTAGGGGAAAGATAAGTTTTATGTAAGCACACACACAGCTGTGAGGTAAGAGCTATGCAGGAAGTGCGATTTTATCGTAGTGGAAGCAAGACACCGAAGGTAAGACAAATTCATGACAGTGAATTGTGAATTTTAAGTAAATTTTAGTCGGAAAGTGACGTCACTTTCCGACTAAAATTCACTTAAAATTCACTTAAACGACGAAACCTGTCGTTTAAGCTGTTTGGTGGCTGTTTATTAAGAATTATTAACGGTTTCAAGCGCACATTCAGGCCTGTGAGACTCATTAGACACTCTGACACTGAGCCATGGCTCTGTGCTTATGCACACGTTTCTGCATCTCTGTTATTCAAAGACACTTTCTATATGTATAATTTATTTTATGTAAAATTCACTACTAAACTGTAACTTTAAGGACAAGGAAGCGATTTATTTTATTCATTTTTATCATAAAAGCTTTATTTTTATGGATTTGCTATTACTAGTGAGAACAAACCTGAGGTTTAAGGCCTGGATTACTTTGAAACCTTTGAAACCTGAAAATAAAAAGGGGCATTGCTTTATTTACGTCTGACACCTCTGAAGTCCACCAGAAGATGGCGGCATCTGAGCAGGAAACCCTTCTCCTTAAACGCAACCACCAATTTGCAAGACTCAAACGCTTATAATGATTATATAATGTAATGTTTATTTACACAGCGATAGGCTGAAAGTCACTGGTGCACAGAAGCCTTTTAAATAAGACACGAGACTAGCTGCCAAACAAAATAAAATGTGCACGAATTTGGCTTTTTTGTTTACGAAAATTAAAAGTAATTCATTTGAGATTTACCCGAAATTTGTTGCGTTAAATCAGATATATTTATTAAAAACAAAAAGTTAAAGCAGGTTTCACGATGCGGTGCAGCTGCAGTCTAACACCATCAAATGATCCGGGTATCCTGTGGCTCTATGCAGAGCCTGTCCATACACTGGACTCCTCAGAATTCACCTTCTCTCCAGCCTTATTTGTCATTGTTATTAAAGATAATACTAGATAATATAAGTGCCTTTGCAGTTTTTTCCTAATCACAAGAACACTTTAAATGTTTCACTTCGTGTGCAAACTGTTACTTTTGTGTTTACCTGTGTCCTTTAGTTAAAGACAAAGGGTTGAAGGCGAAGCGAATGAGGTCAAAGATGGGCTTAGGTCGGAGTAATAAATTAAACATCGGATCCTAAATTATGGATTTTCTAGGAGGGCGGAGGACCCCTCCAAGAGCAGCTTCTGTATCTTTAATAGACACGGAGAGGGGCTGGGAGAGGCTGCGCGTTCACGTTCATTTTCTCGCGCCGCAGCGGCGGGGACGCGCAGAGGCTCCCACACTCGCCGGAGAGGAAGAAAAAAGCGCCGTCGGACCGCAACAGCGACTCACCGGGAGAAAAATGATCCCTCCACCGTCCTTCATCTGCGCTCAGGTCTGCACAAAGCATGTGAAAGGATCCGAAACCTCCGAGGACTCGACTTTTCTCAAACATTAAACTTGTTTCAAGTGGACTGTAAACTCCGAGGGTGATTTATAAGACACGGGAATTGAAGTTAACATTGGACAGGTAAGATGACGGAAAAATAAGCTAATGCGGGAGTTACTGCATGAAATTAGAGAGAGACGGAGCAGCATCCGGATCAAAACTTTAAAACAAATACAAAAATGTCAACCCGCGGATTAATTCTGTGTCTGTGTCACAAAGGCGTTTGTGCACGAATGCTTTAATAATCCGCAAATTGATCGGGAAAAATCTGATTTGAGCATTAAGTGCTTTTGGGAGTGAAACCTTCTCGAATAACTAAAAGAAAACCCATTAACGAGAGCCCGTTTCATCACCACGGACAGCGCCAGTTTACCCGGACCTGCCTGTGCAGACGCGCTCAGAGGAGGGCATCTGAAATCAAATATGACCCACAACTTATGTACATATGTGCGCTTGTTCGTCAAACATTGTTGTTCTGTGTAGCGAAGAAAATAAAAGGAAACTGTTTTTAAGGCATTCAGAGAAACACATTTAATCTATATGAGATAAAAAAGCATCCGCAGTACATTTCCGTCGGTGTGATTGCTCTAATGGATAATGGATAATGCTCTTATAAATGTCTGATCGTAGCTAATGTCTGCTAATTGATGCTTGCAGGTGCAGAAAATGGCAAGAAGGTTCTTACAGCTCCTTGCCTTGTGGACTGTTATGACTGGCATTGTGCAGACCTGTCCAGAGCAGTGCAGCTGCCAGGATAAATTTTCCCATCAGTTTGCTGACTGTGCTTACAAAGACCTGCTGGAGGTCCCTGTTGGTCTCCCTTCCAATGTTACCACCGTGAGCCTTTCTGCCAATAAAATCCAAATCCTGAAAAGCAAAAGCTTTGTTAATATCACTCAGGCCACCTCTCTGTGGCTCGCCCACAATGAAATAGTCACCATAGAGAGAGGCACCTTGGCCCCTTTGGTTCAGCTACGCAACTTTGACATCAGCCACAACAAAATTGTGAACTTTCCATGGGAAGATCTGCGCGGTCTCACAGCCCTGCAGCTTCTCAAAATGAACAACAATGAAATGGTGAACCTCCCAAAGGATGCCTTTTCCACGCTCAAAGACCTGAGGTCGCTTCGAATTAACAACAACAGGTTTACCACCATTGTCGAGGGGACTTTCAGCGCCCTCACTGCTATGTCTCACCTGCAGATCTTTAGCAATCCCTTCAGTTGCTCCTGCCGTCTGCAGTGGCTGAGGGACTGGATCACGACAACTAAAATTTCTGTCCCCGAGCCAAATTCAGTTGTGTGCGAGGCCCCTGAACATCTGAAGGGTACGACGGTTTCAAGCATTCCTAAACTGGACTGTGAGCCCCCTGCTGTCACTATAACATATCAGCCAAACATAGAAAACACAGATCTGTATGAAGGTATTATGGTGATCTTAAATTGTGAGACAAAAGGGAGCCCCAAGCCACAGATCACCTGGGAGGTGACTGCAGGAAATCAAAATTATCTTTTCCCCTTGCCCTCCACTGGAGAAATAAACGATGTGCCAATTAATGATAAAACAACCAGCAATCGATTTCTTGTTTTTAGAAATGGAACTCTCATCATCCCCCGTGTGAGTAAAAAGGAAGATGGGAATTACAGCTGCTTTGCGGTGAACGAGTTGGGTAAAGCAGAGAGCAGCGTTAAAGTGGCTCTGGCAGGCACCCAAAAGGAAGCCAGCAACACAGTCATCGATTCAACAGTGGACAAGAGCCGTCCGTCTGGTAAAAAGCCTGCAGACCCCAACAAGCCCTCCAAAAATAATGTGGTCAACTGGACAAAGCTTGATGAGAAGACAAAGGAAAGTCCCGAAACGTCAAAAGACAAACACGATGAAACAGAGCAGACCGGTGTTGTTCCTAAGACACACACATTCACAGGCAAGTGCGGTGTTAGAGAAAGCAGTGAATACATCTCCAACCATGCCTTCAACATGAGCCTGGAAGACCTGAAGCAGTACACCTTTGACTTTGGTGTTATTGCATTAGAAGTGTCAGAGACGGAGGCCAAAGTGCAGCTGAATCCACTGCAGCTTGCCAAAAGCAAATCTAATCTTCATCTAAGTCAAACTGAAAACCAGGAAACAGTGAATAAGGAACCTTTGGGTCTGTACCAGTCCTCATCTAGCAAGACCACTCTGGACATGCTCTACCTCTGTGTAAATACTGGAAACGGACACTCCATGGTTCAGTGGTCCAATATAGAGGAGGGAATTAATTCCTACCGCTTCCATAATTTACAGCCTGGAACCAATTACACACTTTGTCTCACCTATGGGGGGAAGGACTGCCAAGTCCAAGTAGTCTTCACAACTAGAAAGAAGATCCCCTCCCTGCTCATAATTGTGGTTGTCAGCATTTTCCTATTGGGTCTGGCCACTGTCCCCTTGCTGGGAGCCACCTGCTGTCATTTGCTATACAAATATCAAGGAAAAACCTACAAGCTGATCATGAAAGCTCAGAATCCAGATCAGATGGAGAAGCAAATGACAAAAGATTTTGATCACAGGCCATCTTTCGTGGAGTCAGAGAAAACCAGCGAGTTAGGCGAGGGGGAGGGGGAGGTTGACGGAGAGGAACGAGAAGGAGAGGAAGAGGCTGAGGGGAGCGTGGTGACCGAGTCCATCCCCGGATCATCATCCAAGACCAACCAGGAGGAGTTTGAAGTTGGCTCGGAGTACAGTGACAGGTTACCGCTGGGAGCAGAGGCCGTCAACATCTCCGAGGAAATCAACGGCAACTACAAGCAGCCAAGCCGCTGAGCTCCGCTGACGTCTGCGAGTATATTGTAAAATATTTTGCTTTCAAGTAGCCTATATTCAAGCAGGTAACACACACATCATTACTTCACGTGAAAAAAACGATGCCGTGTGATTTTTGTCTTTAAAAAAAAGGGATCATTAACTTTTTTACCTCAATACTCCTTCAATCACCGCGATTGTGATTGAATTCATGTGACATTTGTAGTTTCCGTAAGGTTAAAACGAGTAACTCACGTTTACAAACCGAGCACAGATTTATATCTTTTATCGGACCTCAAAACCGACGGGAAAGCACCAACGTTTACCCCATCTGTGGGACGTACGCGAACGGGCATATGGGAGCAAATTTCGCGAAGGCGAGACTTGGAGAGATGCGCGTAATTCGAGGCAGCAAAAAAAAAAAAGGAGAAAAAAAGTGCACAAAATTTTACCCACCGTTTCGCTGCGTTTTAAACAAGCAAAAACAACAAAAAACAGGATTTTCTATGAAGTCATTGTAAATAAACTGACATCAGGGACAAGATTCTCTCACTGAGCCGCGTGTGTCTGTGCAAGGCTGTTAAAATCTCATAACGGCCATTTAACATCTTCTCAGGTGTCGGCACTCTGGCTCCACTCAACTTGTCCACGAAACTAGAGAAAGATTGGGATTAATGTGTTTGATGAAATGATATTTGCGCTTGGCGCTGTTGCACCTGACAGCGCGCACAGCGGCGCCCTGCGCGCTGTCCTGTGCGTCCAAAAACGGGAAACTGAGCTTTCAGAGGTGACGATGTGCTTGACGGGAAATTCCAGGTTATTTACCAACAACATGTTGTTCCACGTGTAACGTAAGGCTTTAAAAATGTGCGACTTTAACCTCTTAATCGACGGGTGCTTGCTGTACTCTCGCTTTTTACGGTGAACGTGTCCATGGCATGTCACTCCTTGTGCGGTTTTCTAATAGTGTAGTCTATATAGGACTTTTAGATGTGACTGTCTACTTGTGATGTAAAGCCACGTGAATTTTCTTTATTATTTTTTTTAAATCAATTTTCCAATGAAGTCCTAACAAATGGGCGCAGTGAGCGTCTGTCGGCTTCACTGTCTTGTAATTTGATATGTAAAGTGAGATTTTTTGTGAACTATGTTGTAAAACAAAACAAAAAAACGTGACCTTTTAAGATTTTTTGATATAATTTTATGTAAGTGGAATTAATAAAACATGTGAAACTATACAAATTGGTGGATTTTTCTGGATTTAACTATCATTCCGATTTTATTAAACAACAACAAAAGCAAACAAACAAACAAACAAAGAATCCCCATATCATGTCGAATAATTATGTTCCAAATGATTATTTCGATTACGAAAAATTTCTTTAAAAATGTAAGATATTCTCCTTCCTCTTTTGGAAAGTGATTATTATGGCATGGCTTTTTTTTTCTTTTCTTTAAAAAAGAGGGGATTAAAAACAGAGAAGCCTGAACACTGCTGCGTTTTGGAGCTCCGATCAGTCACAAAGCCTCCCTTTGTCTATATTTTTCGCTTATGGTTCAGTTCAGATCTCTTCTTTCGGCAGAAAATTATCACACTACGCAAGTGGATTTAAATTAATATCTTATATAAAAATGTGAAATGATAATAGGAGAATGTTTATCAAAACACTTAAGCAGTTACCAGAGTCTTAGAATTACGTTTCAACAATTTTACTTGCAGCAAGGACTCCTACAGAGTACAGCAATGTACAGAGGAGGACTAAAGCCTACAGTGTCTGGGCTTCATTTATAGTATACAGGGTTCATCCTGAGTTTTACGAGCACTTACATCAATGGAAATTCCCATGAAGACATGCTGAGACCGGTGGTCTTATTTCTGCTACCGCACCTGTTCGGCTTCCGGTTAGTTTGAGGGTCAGTTTCCTTTTCAAAAGCCCCTTTCCCGTTGCAAGTGCACTCATGCATATATTAGTTGAGCAATAGCTTAACAAAATTTCCCATCAGTGATTAAAAAAAACAAAAAAACAGGAGAAAACTGTATTTTTCATTTTATTTTCACAGTTATCAGGGAAAAAACAATCGGATGTGTATATTTTCATTTAAAGGTTTAAATGCGCAGACAAATGGTGAAATATCACGAAACATTTGAAACAAGAAGATGTTTATTTGACAAGAACTGGAAATACTGGAAACAGTAAGATGTTTTTGACTTAAAAGTCTACAAATTAAAACAGAATAAATATACAGTTTATTCCACAGGTTAATAGCAGTCACACAATGCGTGTAGCCTAAAGATGGGGGAAAAAGAGAATTTATTGGCCACAGTATGACAATGGTTCATTATTTATATTCATAAATAGTCCGATGTTCTGTCTTTCTGCCCTTCTCTGTCACTCTATATATGAACTCCCATTCAAAGAGATGATTCATTGGCTTGTGCATCCATGTTTTTAGTTGGATGACCATCATCTTACATTATCTGCATTGAATGCTGAAAATAATACATGATTAAAGGCTATTAGTGCAAATGAGTTCTATCCCAAAATAAGCACATACATGTTTAGAAAATTATTTTTTTTAAGTGTGTTTACTAGGTGATCAGTGCCACACAAGCATTCCCATCAGACTGGAGACTGAGGTCCTCACAGACAGGAGAACATGAAAAGCACAGGAGGGACTCTGAATCTCCAGACGTTTAGGAAAGACTTGGTGAATATCTTTACACTAGGCACTGAGCTATAATGCATGTATTTCACCAAATGCAGACAAATAGTACAAATGCAGACCCAAACCGGACGAGACTCTGCAGCCAGTACATAATCAGTATCGCATTTTTGATTAGTTGCTGGCAGCGGCTTCTGCCTCCTTGGTCGTAGCCTCCTTTTTGCTCTCCTCCCTGGTGCTGCGGTTCAGGCTTCCATTCAGAAAGCTGTCTGTGGTCTGACGCTGGAAGTGCTTCCTGGTGCCCACAAGGGAGGGGTTGTTGACCAGGGTGTAGAGGAGCTGCCAGTGCCTGCGGGCTCTCTTGGCAATGGACACTTTATTCTGCTTCTTATCCTGCTGGACGAGCTGGATCCCTGAGGACGTTCAGACATCATGATTGCACCAAAAGGTATGACATCTATAAGTCCTATGTAATGACATCTAAGGATAACCCTTTTTCTATTTTAAACTGAAATTGGAAAAGGGTGATTTGTGGGCCTCCCAAAAGACACCCTATATACAGCAGATAGAGTAATAATAGAAAGCAATCATATTTTAATCCTCTAAGCATGGTGGGAGCATACTGGGCTTTCCATTAACACGCTGAAAGCCAAAGCCCCTTGGGCTGAATGAATATGTAACAGGCAATTAGCGTAGCTCATCTGTGTAATCAGCTACTGGAGAAGTAATCACTGTAATACAATAGATTATTCCCGATAATACATTGTTTTCTAGATGCAAACAAGCAACATCTCCATGGCACGTTTCTAATTGGACTCAGCTGTGTCTAAATTCCACAACAACCGCTGAATCCTGGCGGATTTTCTTGCTAATTTGTCAGTGTAATGCATGTCCTGCTGTCATGATACGTGAGCGACCATCAGTCTCTTCCTTTGTGTGTCAGTGGCGTTGCTGCAGATCTGCGATCCACCCTAAAGCACCCGTTCACACTTTGGATTAACACAAGTTGTTAATATAAAAGATACAATATAGCACCTATATTACAGGATGCAGAGTCATAACGACAGTTTATTCGTTTATGACTGATATGATTAGGACAGGCAGCCGGACTTCAAGCTATTCTGCTCTGAGACTCAATTTGCTCTTAGCATATTAAATCAGAGCTGCCTTCATTTTCACTGTACGTGCAGCAAAGTGAGATGATCTGATTATGTGTTACAGTGACCTGCTATTAAATTCTAAACACCCCAGAGAAATTAAAGATGCTACAGCACTTTTAATGCAGGTATTAAGATTATTTTGAGCTTTAAGAATAATCTGGAGAAAATGTCTTAATGTCATGAAACAACTGAAACAATGAGCTGATCCTATTAACAAAGACTACCTGTGTGCAATGGTCACTCTTCTGTGCCATTAAAAAACCCCAAAAAACACCACAATGTGCTTTTTTTGTCCACACATGGAGAACAATCTGTGGTGTGGATTGAGTTTTGTGCTACAGACCTTCTTCAGCATCTCGTGACCTCTGTCCAGCTTTGGTGTCCTGGCCCACAGACTGCAGCAGCATCCCACAGAAGGCCTTCATCACAGGGTGAGACTGGCTCACCTCGATCTTCAGATAATGAGCATAGCAGCGGTAGGCTGCAGGCAGACGTAGGGAGGGGTGAATCATTCTGACTGGGCAAAAGCAATAAACACACAGGACTGCGCCCCATGTTGGCTTTGAGGCAATCACACATAATGACCATACAATCACACTTTTTCTCTCTCTTTTTTTTAACCACCTGCTTTTTCTGACAGCAAATCTGCAGACATTTCCATGCAATTAGAGTCCCTGCCCTGCACAGAATACAGATATCATATGAGCTGCAGTGAGCTGGCAGGAGGATAAAGTGGGCAGGATGCAAATTTCTAACCTCTAAGTGGGATCAGAAGAAGTGCTTTTTCTCATAGAAAATTGCTTCCACAAACATAAAAGCGTGTTGCTATTACCTATTAATATGTTAACGTCCTGTTTCTGAGTCCAAAGAGAAAAAAATGGGAACTATTAAATATTTATTAGCCCTCTCTAAGCAATAGATGAATGCTAAAAAAGTGCCAATAATTGATGAAGAAAGTGTTTTTTAGCCAAGCTACAATCCTTCTAATAATGACAGCGTGTTCACTATTACAGAAATGGACACTATACTGATTCTAACCTGCATACACGTCAGTTATCTCGCTCACCTGGGTCAAAAGCCTCCACATTGCGGTTAAGAAGACTGATATCCATACGTCCCATGTGGACAATGTTGAACAGGGCTGTGATGATCATGCGCCAGATTCCCAGTATCGCCCCGATCAAAACATTAACAGGAAACATCAGGTATGTCAGCAGGAACAGATTACCCCTGTGAGATAAGTTAGAATGCATCAAATCAAAATCAGGCAGTAAAATTATGTAAATACAGGAAAATGTACGGTAGAAAATGCAGTAAATCACCTGTTGTCCAGATCTCGTGTGCCTCCTGTCTTTTTGATGAAGCAAAACCTGGCGGTGACGTGTTGAATCAACACAACCAGGAGAAGCATGAGCCAGAAAGGCCTGAAAAGGTGAAACCCACATAGAAGGAGCAGTGATTAAAGCGCAAAAAACATTGGTAGCTGGCAGGAAATTGTACAACATACACAGAGAATGTTGTTGATTGAAAAACGCTCCAGGTGTCAAATTTCAAACCTAGCAGCACCACTGCACAGATACTCTCAGGTCGGGATTTACGACAACTTGTGTTTGTATCTTTTTTAATTTTTTTATTTTTTACAAGGTCACCACCTTAAAATAAGCTAAAACTGAAAGCTGAGAGACACCAAGAATTATATCACTCACCACATGCTCCACAGGACCTGAAAGAGAATCAGATTCTGTCTGTGGAGGACAGGTATGATAACAAGGAAGACTGCAATCAGAAGGCAGAGGAAGAACACTATGGTCTGGATGATCATGCCTGCAGGGGAGAGATCAGAGCGTTACAGTCTTAGCACTTAGACACTATCCAGCATCCAACAGATCTACAGTGGTCACCCCACTGTAGAAAGCTCGAATACTCTGATATGTCTCTGCCCGAGTTGGCCGATTGAAAGAATTGCTTTTAGGCAATATTTAAGGAGCATGAACAGAAATAATACAAATATCTAACAGAATTTGGAAACTGGATATACAAGAATTGGTAGCGAGCACAGTTATGTCAAAAACAGGATGTAAAGATGTTGTTAAGAATTGCTGAGGTTTGTGTTTGGAGTGGAAAAGGATGAACAGGACTTGGAAAGCATAAATCATAGGGACAGTTAAGGTTGGAGAGTTCACAGAAAAGTGAAAGAGGTTTGGGGAGTTGATGTGGAAGTGTGTGGTGGAGAGATACTGAGTATACTGAGGGAAGGATTGTGAAAATGAGCAGCAAAGGAAGAGGAAAAAGGAAAGGCCAAAGGAGCAGTTAATGTATGTGGTGAGAGAGGACATCCAGGGCATTTCTGTGATGAACAGATGAAGAACAGATGATCAGTGATCTACTGTACTGACCCCTAATTAGAACAGTCA